CCCCCCCCCCCCCCCAACATCAGAGGGCACCCATTTCATCTTCAGCTCGTTGCATCTTTGAAGAAATTGCCACAAGGTTTGCCTTTGATCCCAGACCTTGGAGAGCACCTTCAGCATGCTATTTGGGACTATTTGGGATTTTTCAGGCTGTTCTTTCAGGACTGTTTTACTCCCCTTTCCCATGGGAACCTTGCTGGCTGTAGTTACACGAGGCTCAGAGTTGGATGGGCACGTTTGCAGCTTCTTTTCTTAGGGATTTCGAAGTAAATTCCTTCTTTTGTTTCCATCTGCAAAAAATGGCATCTCTGAGCTCACGTGAAACAATCCTTTGGGGAGTCTTTGGATCTTCCACGTGGAAGAATTTATTAACATGTGTTCACGTTGGTGAACCTTTGTTGCTTCTTTAGCAAAGATTATTCACTTCATTGGGCTTCCCTGTTTGGTCTTCTGGGAGAAGTGAATAAACTGTCCTTGTAGATCCTTCCAAAAGGCTTCAGCCATTCAGCAGTTCCAGAACTTCATCCCTCACTTGTGCTCTTCCAAGTCCTTGGGGATTCATCAAAAGGAGCCTTGTGTGTGTGACCAGGGAGCAGGGCTTACGAAACGACCGCAGACCCTTGCCAAAAAAAATGGAATGTGTTCCTTTTTAGCCCAGAAAAGGAAATGGTGTTCCTAGCTGAGAGTTCCTGCAGTGAACCAGAGCTGTGTTTATAAGATCCCGAGGCGGATGGAGAAGTGGGGTGGCACTTCATCAAGTGCCTTCTCCTGGTGGAACTGAAACATCCCTTGGGATCCTGTTGCTCAGCCTGACCTTGTCTGACGTGTGAGCTGAGGTGCTCGAGGTCTGGGTGCTTCTCTCTGCTTATTTTTTTGCTCCCTTGAGCTTCCTTTCATTTCCTGCGTGAAATTCTTTTCCATCTCCAGGTGGAAAAAGGTGTGTGTGGTGTATGAATACACCCATATAAGAAAGGAGGACTGCAGACCCCCTGAGTGTTTTTATATGTGGTTTTTCTTTTGATTCCCCTATTTTTAAAATACGGAAATGGCAGGTTTTTGTTTCAAAGCACCTTTGAGAGTTTGCCCCCAATGCAAGACCCAACTGTGCTCAGTAATTTTTTCAGCAAAATTCCTCTTGTCTGGCCCTGTTCTCCCTCAGCAGGTAGTTTAATTATTGCTGGAGTCATGGCTTTCCACAAGGCTATTCTTTGTGCCAGCACGCTCTGAAATTCTAGAAGGTTCCCGTTGCAGAGCCTGTGCCGCTCGTGTCAACAGCGACGTGAAATAGTGGCTTCATGGAGCAGGATCCTTATGGGTTACTGGAGAAATGTCTGCAGTGCTTATAATACACTGAATAATATTAGAATAAAAAATATCTAGATGTAAAATGGGGAGGGGGAGGGAGTTACTTAACGAGTTAATTTTGACGTGTTTGTCACCGAGCTGCTCTGTCAGAGCTTGCTGCGTTTCCCTTGGACATCCTGACCAATTCCTCCTCCTCCTTGCAGTTGCACAGTACCCTTTTGAAGACCATAACCCACCACAGCTGGAGCTCATCAAACCTTTCTGTGAAGACCTTGACCAGTGGCTGAGTGAAGATGACAATCATGTGGCAGCAATCCACTGTAAAGCTGGAAAGGGACGAACTGGTGTAATGATTTGTGCATATTTGTTGCATCGAGGCAAGTTTTTAAAGGCTCAAGAAGCCCTAGATTTCTATGGGGAAGTAAGGACCAGAGACAAGAAGGTGAGATACTCCCTGTTCCTTCTGTTCCTCTCTCTGTAACTTGCTGCTTTTCCTCCTTGGGGTCGTTTTGATGCTCAAACCCTTAAAGAAATACTTGCCATCGGTTGTTGTGATACCTGGTTTGATTTCAGCTTTAGTGTTATCAGATCAGTGCAGTTATAAATGGAGAAGCTTTCCTAAGCAGCAGTAGCAATTAGTCACAACACTAAAACAGCCTGGTTTTTCCATCTCCTGTTCAAGAAGACCTGGACAGTCTATTTTAAATAGCTTTTCCAACAGAGTTCTGCTGGGTGTTAACATCAGGTGGGCAGTCCGTGAGGGAACTTTCTCGTTCAGCATTTTCAGCCCAAATAAGAGGATTATTCCAGCTTGTTTTGCCTGAATGGGTGAGCTGTTCATCTCCTCGGGTTCTCCTAACTTCTGTGGTGGTGTTCAGAGATGGGCAGGCATTACAGTTGAATATCCCTACTGGAAGAATACACTGGAACGTTGTTGGATTCCCCTTTTCAATAGAAGGGTTAGTGAAGAGCTTTTCTGGCATTGTTATGCCTCATTAATGGGAATTCAACCTTCCTTCTTTGAATTCTTCTCCAAAGATAATAAGGTGTGAATTGCAAGGTCACTTGAACAAACTTCCCTGCTCCTCTTTCACCATTTCCTTGAGTATGTTGGTCGAGCATCCCAAAGGGATCATCCCAAAGGGATCATCCCAGCAGGACAGTTTTTCAGTCTCCTCAAGTACAGAGCTCTCTCTGTTCCTGTGATGTTTGCACAAAGTATTAATTTCACATTGTGGAAGCCCCTAAAAAGCAGAGCTTCGTGTCTGAAGGCTCTTGAGGGCAGAAGTGGCACATGAGGAATTCCAGGGATTTGGCTGTTAATTCACTGGAAGGGGCAAAGCAGCTCCTTGGTTTGCACCTTTGGCAGGATGGAGCTGTTGTTCCACGGACTGCTGAGCTGGTTGTGGTGTGACACTGGAGCAGAGACACTGTCAAGGTCTCCCATCAGAACTCTGAGGCTTCTGGGGAGAGTTCATGACTAGGGGAGGAGTGGAGTGAATAAACACAGGAGATTCTTCCTGCTGATTAGGGTTATCTCAAGAGCTGCCCCAAAACAGCCCCAAAACCACAAAGCTGAAGAAATGCAGGGTAAAAAAGGTGTGGTGTTGCCTCAGTTTCCCTCTTGGAAAAAGGTGGCATTTCTGCACATCAGTGTAGGGGGGATAAGGGCAGTTGGGTGTTCATCAGCACCCCAGGAGTACTTTGGGCATCTTGGAGATGAGGGAACCTTAGTCAAGAGGAATAGTGAGAGCTTTGTTTAGCTTTACTCTAAATATTGTCTGTAACCAGCAACTTTGTTTTGGTTTCGATGTCTCTACTGGAGGAGTTGATTTTTTTTTTAATTTGATTTTTTTTTCCCCCCTTCCCAGCTCCACTTGAGCATGGTTATCTTGATGTGGCCAGTGGGCAGCATTTGATTCACATAATCCTTCAAGTGGTGTTTATAAACAGGTTTTCCAGTGCAGGTTCTGGGAGCCTTTTCCTCCCTGGTGGCCCCTATTTCAGTGTTATATGTCGAGTGCTGCCCTCTGATTTGGTATTTCACCACACCTTGATAGAACTGACTTCCTGAATTCAAAGCAGATGAGGCATCAGAAGAACTGTTTGCATCTAGGGATGAGCAAATGCCTCTTCTCTTTCTTTTTGGTTTCTTTTTCTGGACCGATGAAGGAAAATTGGCTTTAATCAGGCACCAGATTTGCCTGGCTTAAAGCGAGAACGAGGTGCCCACTTTGCAGTAACAGCTGAGAACAGCCCAGCTAAAAACGCTGTTGTCATTGAATGCTCATGGCAAAGGGATTCCTGGAGGGTTCAGTCCGTGCTGGCAGGAAGTGTGAGTCTGATTGCAAGGGGAAGTGTGACTAATTGGTCAAGGGAACAACCTGGAGTGCTTCTGGAACAGCCTTTTCCCAAGTGCCTGCCGGGAGAAGCAGCTTCAGGGAGGCCTTTGCAGCGTCAAGTGAGAGCTGTTGTGGGTGAGGTTGAGAGCTGGGATGTCCTGGGGGAAATAAGAGGTTGCAAAACTTGAGTCTGCAAAAAGATTTGGGACCAAAACCTTGTTGTGGGGGTTGTTTTTTGTTGCCTGGATAAGCTGCCTCTTTTGACTTCCTTAACTCTTTGTAGCAGGGGGGAACTTTGTCAGAAGAAGGGAATGATGAAGATTAGAAAGTGTTCACTGTGTGGTTGCTGCTTCTGCCTTGGAGGGTTTTATGGTGAGGATTAGGCTTGGAAGGAAGCACAGAGTGGACAGTGGACAGGTATCAGCTGGGGACAACTGTTCAAGGGCTGGAGATGATCGAGTCAGGAGCATTCTTTGACCATTGTATTGTTGTATTTTCAAGAATGACTCCTAAGAGCTTTCCTGTGAGGGAAGGCTGAGAGAATTGGGATTGTTCACCCTGGAAAAGAGGAGGCTGAGGGGTGACCTAATTGTGGCCTTCCAGGACCTGAAGGGAGCCAGCAAGAAACTTGGAGAGAGGCTTATTGCAAAGCCTTGGAGTGACAGGACAAGGGGGAATGGCTTCACACTGCCAGAGGGCAGGGTTAGATGGGATATTGGGAAGGAATCCTTCCCTGTGAGGGTGGGCAGGCCCTGGCACAGGTTGCCCAGGGAAGCTGTGGCTGCCCCTGGATCCCTGGAAGTGTCCAAGGCCAGGTTGGACGGGGCTTGGAGCCACCTGGGCTGGTGGAAGGTGTCCCTGCCCGTGGCAGGGGGTAGAACAGGATGATTTTAAGGTCCCTTCCAGCCCAACCCAAGCTGTGATTCTGTGGTATTGGTATAACTGAACAGGAAATGCAAAAGCAATTATTTTGCACGAGGAAGTCTCAGAATGACTCTCTGAGCAGGGCAGGGATCCCAGGGCTGGTGGCAGAGCTCAGCAGTTGTGATTTCTGTTCGTTATGTGCTCAGGTGACAACCTCTGCTAAACCTCGTGCCCCAAGCCTGGTGTGAGTCTGCAGCTCTGCTCTCACAGTAGGGCATCTTACTGAAGTGAATGTGGGAATATTGCTTCCAAAAATGTTTGTTCTTCATGATAATGCCCGTGCTGCATTGAGAGGAGGACCAGGAGCAGCCACCTGATGGTTTTTGTGATGTTTCCACTGCTCCCTGGTGCCCTGGGAATCTCTGCTACAAGAATTAGGGAAGCTTGTCTAACATCCATTTAAAAAATGGTGGTGGTTGATAGATGGGAAAGAGCAGCTTCTCCAGGAGAACATACTTGAACTACTTCCCTGTCCTTATTCTCCTGGAGTAAAAGTCAGCAGGGGTTGATTGTACCTCTTGGAATATCCCAAAATATTCCAGATCCCAGGAAAGCAAAGCTTGAAAGCTCCCTTAAGGAGTGGGTGTGATAACTGCTGAGGACATCTGAGCCAAAAACCATGGGCAGAGTAGAAGGCTTAGGAAGGTCATTGTACAAGTGCTGCAGGGAAAGGTCTTTTGTGTAATTTAGAAGCAGCTGAAGTGATAAGGAGACATAATTATCAACATTTTTTTTAATAATGGCAGGAAGTGACTTATTTTCATGGGTGCAGAACAGAGATTGGCTCAGTTCAAAGGACTCTGGCCACTCCAAGCTTATGGCTGCTGTGAAGTGAAGCAGGTGGAACTTAAGAGTTTACAAAAATACTGGGGGGGTAGGTTTTGTGACCAAAATGCTCACCGACTCACATATAAATCTTTGGCCTATTTTTGTTTGTTGCAATCCCACAACTGGTTTGAATCAGAAAATTTGCTTATTTTGATGCTGTCGTGTGTGATGCTGCTTGTTGTAAATGTGAGGCATTTTCTGGGAAACGAAATGATTTTTCATCTTTCTCACTTTAACTTGAAAATAATTGGTTGTAAGAGCTTTAAAAGTGTTCCCTTACTCGAAGCTTTAAACTGATTTAAAATCAGTAATGAAAACATCTGTAGGTTATACGCTCTCAAAGCAAATAATTTAGAGTTGTAACAACTTCAGGCTTTGGGGCCTATTGTAATGAAACTTCTCAGCTTTTTGGGGGGGAAAACATTTCAGAGGGATGTTAGAAGGCAACACTTATCTTGAGTAGGGTGATATTAGTAAACATCAGAATCCTCTGACTTAAACTGCTGTCAAAATGTAATTCTTCTAGTGGTGCTAAAAAATGTTCAAGGCACCTCCTGCTCAGCACCTCGCACTCCCCACCCCAAAAAAAGCAGGAGCATGAAACCATCTTGGACGTGCCTCTCAGGGTGCCTGCGGTGTTTGGTTTTAAGATACGAGAAAAATCTGCATTCTTTGCCTCGTTACTGGAGGTGGATGTTTGGAGAGCTCAGAATCATGGAATGGTTTGGGCTGGAAGGGACCTTAGAGGTCATGTCCTTCCACCCCCTGCCATGGGCAGGGACACTTTCCACTAGCCCAGGTGGCTCCAAGCCGCATCCAACCTGGCCTTGGACACTTCCAGGGATGGGGCAAGAATTTCTTCCCAGTATCCAGTCTATTCCCACTCTCTTGTCAGTGTGAAGCCATTGCCCCTTGTCCTGTCACTTCAGGCCCTTGTCAATAATCTCTCCCCATCTTTCCTGTCATCTCCCTTCAGGTCCTGGAATGCCACAATTAGGTGACCTCAGAGCCTTCTCCTGTCCAGTCTGAACATTCCCAATTCTCCCAGCCTTTCCTCAGAGCAGAAGGGCTCCATCCCCTCTAGGATGTACTAAAGTTACTGGAAAACCAGTGCCCTGCTCGATGCTGGAGCGTGGTTGCCGATGAATTCCCTGTCCCTTGGTGGTTCATTTGCCCTCAGGGGCGTCTGAGGTGATCTGCCAGTGATACCAGTGGTTTCTGACGCTTGTTTTCCCTCTGTTTAGGGAGTGACAATTCCCAGTCAGAGACGCTACGTGTACTACTATAGCTACCTGTTAAAGAATCACCTGGATTACAGACCAGTGGCTCTGCTGTTTCACAAGATGATGTTTGAAACAATTCCCATGTTCAGCAGCGGAACTTGCAGTAAGTACCCGGCCCCCGGTGGGGAAACGTCGGCCTTGAACGTGGTTATGGGCACCAAGAGCTGCCACACCTCGATGGAAAGGGTCATGTTTACACACCTCACCTTCCCAGGTGTGGGAACTCGAGGTCTGGGTTGGTTTTACTGCAGGTTTGGAACTGGGCAGTGTTTTTAATGGTTTGAACATCAGTTCACAGTCAGTCAGGTTGGAAAAGACCTCCAAGACCGTGGAGACCCATCCCCACCTTGTTAACCAGCCCACCATCCCATATATCTGTGTTTCAATATTTGCTCCTTAACTTTTATGAAAAGCCTCTTTTTTTTTTCTTTTTTTAATTTTTTTTTATTTTTTAAACCCAGCAACTCTTGGGAAACATGAATCGCTGCAAAACATTTGCTTAATGGCGTGTTGGCTTCAACTGCAGCAACATCATTCTTCCCATGATGTTTAAAAAAAAAAAAAAATAAATGAATCAGTTCAACTGGGTAAATATCTAATTAACTCTGGAATAAACGTTTCTTGATGTGGAGGCTTCTAAAGCCTGGGATACACCTGCGAATGATTAATCTGATCTGCTGGTACGCCGTGTTAGGAAGGAACAGCAGATTTCTTGAAGCTTTGTAATATAAATACAAAACTCTCTGCTGTCCTGTGGGCTGCGTGACAGGGCAGGGGCCGCCTAGTGCTGCGTGTTCATTTCTGGTGGTGGAAAAAATCTTTCTGATGGTTTTGCTATGGGGAATTACAGCAATGTGTAATTAATTCCAGTGCCTCCCGTGGCTTTGATTAAAACGGGGCCCGTTAATGTTGTTGTGAGGCACCACCTGAGCACGGAACACGCATCAGAAACAATCGAGCGACTCGTCAGGCTGGGCTGAGGAGGAGGAGGAAGGGAGGAGCCTCTGCCAAAAAACCTCTGCCTCTAGGGGAGAGGTGTGGAGGTTCCAGATTTCTGCAATTACCACTTATTTAATGTTTTGGATAAACTGTGCTGTACTTGCCAAATGAAGCTGGGGGCCGGAGGGTTGACTTGGGTGTCCACGGCAGGCCCTTGGTGGGCTGTTTTCATGGGATAAACAACAGGTTTGCCAAGCACCTGAGAAGACAGATGAACTGTCAGCTTCAACATCTGTCTGTGCTGTGATATTTTAAGTTCCTCTGGAGTTTTCAGTGATCTCTCAGAATGTGAAACCCGTGGGCTGGGTTGTTTCTTTAGTTGCGTTATCGACTGCGAGGGGCGGAATTTTATGTTGAACTTCCTGGTTCTCTGACTTCCTGGTTATCCTTCTGCTGTTCTGAAGTCACTGACCAAGGCGGGTTGTGCCTCTCAGGCAAGATGAAAGGGTGACAGAGTTTCACAGCTCTGAGGATTTGAGGGAGATAAGGGGAGAGACCTGGGGCTGTTCAAGCCTGGAGAAGAGAATATTGTGTGGAGACCTCACAGCACCTTCCAGGATCTGAAGGGGCTACAGGGAAACCAGAGAAATTTATAAGGAACTGTGGTGGTGGTAGGACAAGGGGGAATTGCTTGACACCATCAGAGGGGAAATTTAGGTTGGATATGTGGATGAAATTGTTCCCTGTGAGGGTGGGCAGGACCTGGCACAGGTTGCCCAGAGAAGCTGTGGCTGCCCCATCCCTGGAAGTGTCCAAGGCCAGGTTGGATGGGGCTTGGAGCAACCTGGGATAGAGGAAGGTGTCCCTGCCCGTGGTGGGGGTGGCACTGGATGAGCTTTAATGTCCCTTCCAGCCCAAACCATTTTGTTATTCTCTGAGTCTGTCACGGTTTCATAGCTGGGATAATGTGGATGTTCTCCACAGGGATTCCCACAGCTCTGCAGGGGTGTCTGGCAAAGTTTCCAAAGAAACTCTGCTTGGGCTTCACCAAAAACCTCTCCTAATGTCACCGTTGCCCCTGCAGATTGAATTTGGAAGTTATGCTGTGGCACTGCTTTGGTGAGGGTGATATATCCAGGCCCGGCTTGGTGCTGCTTGGTTTTGTGTATTAGTGTTCAATTTTATCCTTGGTTTTGTTTGTGTAAGAGCAGAAATCAGTTTGTGCTGACATGACCACCCACTCTACAATGATGAGAGAGAACAAAACCCCTCAGTCAGATCCATATGATACAGAGAGGAGGAGCAACACACAAGCAACATCAAGTAGCTGTCACTTCATGTACTTACTCCTTACTATATAGTAAACAACAACTTCCTAGGAGCTCTGGTTGCCTGAAAGTACTGCCATGAAGGGCAGAAATCTGTTGTCTGCAGTAGCCCCTAGGAAAGTTTAATGCCCCATGGTGCTTAACACTTTAAAAGATAATTTATTTAACTTCAAAAGTATCACGGTTCTGCTGCTAACATTACGCTTTCTGACACAATTCTGAGGCATTTTTTACCAATTGACACTCTCATTTTGCCACGCAGATCCTCAGTTTGTGGTGTACCAGCTCAAGGTAAAGATTTTCACCTCCCCTTCAGGACCCTCAAGACGTGAAGACAAGTACATGTACTTTGAATTCCCTCAACCTCTACCAGTGTGTGGTGATATCAAAGTGGAATTCTTCCACAAACAGAACAAGATGTTGAAAAAGGTTGGTTTCCTTGGTTTTTTTTTTTTTTTTCTGGAAAATGATGTTGAGCAGGGGCTGGGACTCTGGTTATTCTTCAGGGCTGTGCAATCTCAGTGTTTCGTTCTTTGATGTCCAGTTTTTCCCAAGGAGCGGATCCCACCACAAAATGAACGCTGGGTGTTTGGAGAGTTGGTGAGATTTGAGTACGGAGGTTGGATAAAAATGATCCTGGATGTGTATTGCAGTCGTTTGGGTAGTAGTGAGTAATCTAATTGAGGAAGAAACATTCTCAGCCTAAAAATAGACTTGCATACTGAGCAAGTTAACTCCAGCTGTTTTCTTCACTAAATTTTCCTAAGGTTTTGAGCAGGCACAGAAGATCCTGTCTGTGCTGTTGGCTGATTCCAACCCATCTGTCAAATGCAGTTGAATCTCTGAGATAATTAAGTTCCTACGCTCTTGGTAAAAGTATCTCTGCAGTCTCTTCAACCACCTCTCTGTTCCCAGCTGCAGTGCCACGACTTTAGAGAATTCACTCAGCACTGAGGATTTTATCAGCTGTGGAAAGAAATTCAGCTAGAACTTATTTTGAAACCAGGTTCTTGAGGCTGAGTGGCTCATCTCTGGGGTTCATCAGTTTTGGGGCTTGTGGAGTTGGTTTGCACTTACCAAAGTGAAAGCTGAGGATGAGACTGTGTTGATTTGTGTTTGCTGCTTCAAATTCCTCATCAGTTGTTCCTCACGGTTTAATGGAGGTTCTAAAACTTGGGAGCACCCAGTGAGTGAGTTCTGTGTACAGGCAGGGCCTGAAAATGAGAAATCCTGGAGTGGGTTGGGAGATAAAATGTTGATAAGTCTCTTAAAACTGAGCATGCAGGTTGTACCTGCTAGCTGTGTGTAAATACACGTGCACGCTGGGCTGGGGGCTCGTTCAGGTACCAGGTGTTGTCAACAAGTTTAATCCACGTGCTGATGTCTGCAAAAGTGTTTAAGCTGTTTCTTAGTGGGACTGTCTTGTGTCTAATGAGATGTTCTGGTTGGTCAGTGCAGCTGACGGTGCTGCACAGTGTCTGTAAAACAAAGCATTTTGAAAGCAGAAATTCTGCTCTCGGGTCAGCATTAAGATTTGCTGTTCCTTTACCATCTCCAGTAGCACTTGGACTGCAAGCAGGCATTATGGGGAGCGCTGTGCTGCCCTGCCCACCCCAGAAATACCAGTGTGTGGGTCAGCTGCTGGATCTTGGCTCTGTAGCCTCAGGAACAAACTCCTGTGTTTGTTTTTACCCTTGTGGAGAGCACTGGGATCCAGTGACAGCAGAAACTGGAGCTCCTGGGGAGCACGCACCATTTCTGCAGTGCAAATTCAGCCTTCAGGAGAGTGTAAAGGGCTGGACTTTCGTTTCAGAGTGTCAGATTGTGGTTTCATTTCTTAAGAATCCCTTTGTAGTTTCTGAGGAGGTGGTTGATGGTTTTGTGTTGTTTGTTTGGGTTTTTGTGTATTTTTATCAAGCACCAGAACTCTTTGGGTTCTGTGGATTACAGGCAGTGCAGAGATGCTCCTTTGCTCAGTGTTTTTGGCCTGTTAGGGCCAAGAAGTGGTGAAAGCTCTGCTTTTCACACCTGCAGGCTTTTCTGAGATAGAAACCCTTCACCAGACAGTAAAGAAACCACCCTGCCAATCAAATACCTGTTGAATTGAGTGTCTGATTGCCTCAACTTTCAGTACCAATGGAGGCTGGAAGGAAGTAGGTTTGAGATGTTGCCCAGTTCTGGTGAGATCACCTCTCTCAGCTCTGCTGGAAACACAGACAGGAGCAGATCCCTCCACGTGGTCTTCTGACAGCTTGTTCCATAAAAAAGGTGGGAACAGGGCAAAGGTGAATATTGGTGACAGAAAAACCTACCTTGGCTCCAAGTTGGACACGTTTCTCTGTCCAAGTATTGCACATCTCTACCTGTTCCTCTTCTGGATCAACTGACTTTGGCAGCTTTTACTCAAAACCCCAAAAGTGAGGGGTTTTTCCAGTGGGGAGACCTGTGTTCCAAACATCACCTCCATGCAGGGATCCCCTGATTCATGAGGAACAGTATAATCAGGAGCAACAGGATCTTCCCTTCCAGAGATTCTGGTTTAATCACCAGGTTTATGAAAGGTTGGATCACAACTCTGTTGCCTGTCTCTGGTTCTTGCCCTTCCAAGGTTTTCTGTTAGCAGATTTATAGGTAGCTGTGCAAGTCTTGAAAGACATCACATATTTACCAGTCTGCATTTTAACTTTAATCTAATTAAAAAAACTAATAAGATCAATTAAAAGTGTAATTCCTGATCAGGCTGGAGAATGGCTGTGGCTCAACCTCTGGAGAGAAGCAAAACTTCTGTGTCCTCCTGCTGGGTCTGGGTTGGTGTTTGACAACACTGACCTCAGCTGAAGGTGCCCCAGATTCCCTCAGCATTACTTGCTTCCAAATTTCTTAATCCCTTGGAGAGCAGTAGCGTTACCTGCAGAGCTCTCCAGTAGGGAGGGTCCTCCTCAAGTTTGATCATGCTCTTTTGGGGTAAATTATTATGCGCAAACCAAATCAAAGTGCAACAACCAAGGGACTTTAAGCACCTCGTGTTGCAGACCCAGTGTGACCCTTAAAACAGCCACATGTCCTGCCTTTTAATGACAAAAGGTAATTTTAGGTGGCTATGGAGAGCTGACCTCAGCCAAAGGATTGTTGGTAAGGGGGTGACTGCTTTGGAAAAGTTTTCCCTCTTCCAGCTCTTCCACAGTCTGTGCCACCTGGCATCAGTTAGGAAGTCCAGAGCTTTTGGTCTTTTCTTGTCTAATCAAGTTGTTTACTTTACCCTCAGCCCATTTCTTCAGTGTGATGTAGCTGCTTCCTTTCAAGAATGAAATGCATACCCACATGAGAAGAAAAGGGCTTGAGGCTCCAGTACAGTTATTATGGATGAATTTCTGATGGATACAAGTTAGCAATCTGGGGGATTTTTTATTTTTATTTTGGAGCATGGCTTTTTGTTGTTCTGCCTTGTAGCTTGACTGTTCCTCCATCTCAGGCTGCTGCCAGAGTCTCTCTAGGTTTGTATCTGTGCAGAGCCTTTTTTCTTCCAGTTATCGATGCTGACATGATAATTTTGAGGTATTTCGGATTACCCTCAGATCGCTCGGTTCATCGAGAGCCTGTTCAGAAATAATGCAGAAGATCTCCTAATCTTCCTGCCTCCAGAGCCTGGGGGTGAAGGAGACCTTTTTCAGGAGTCCTCCCAGTACGGATGAGAGGGAGCTGTGGCTGTGGGTTTAATTTGTAAGAGTCGGTGGTGTTTGAGTCCCAGGCTCCAGCGTGGGCAGGGCTTGACAGCGCTGTTAGAGCGGTTGCATTTCATCTCTCTGGTCTGCAGATGAGAAGTTGTTCTGCTGCACAGCTCAAGTTTGGGCAGTTGCTGTTTGGCAAACGCTGAAGAGTGAACTCTGAAAATGTCAGAAGACTTTGAACTGTTGATCTGAAAACGGTACAAGAAGTTCCCTCAGCCATGACTGTGGGGAGGCTGAGGCCAGCGTGGAACAGGCTGAAACAGGATCTCCTTGTCTTGGACAGCATCTCCAAACCCCTCCGTTTGCAGCAGAGTGATTGGAAGGGCCCGTAGATCTCTCTGCAAAGTTAAAACTCTCAGGAGGAGAGAGGAACTCCTGACTGGTGGCTTAAGTGGGCTTGGATTTGGATCTCAGCCTGCAGTTAGAGACAGGTACCAGCTCGAGAGGGAGGAATGTTTTCCTGTCAGTGAGAACTGAGGAGCTGCACGAGGTAGGAGTGGTCCTGTGTGTCAGAACAGGGGGATTGAATCAGCGATTTTATGGTACAGAAGAAGTACAGCTGTGGATTTTTTTTATTTTTTTTTTTTTAAGACAGATGTCTGTGATGTAACTGGAAGTGAAGCAAAACACATTGAGAAACAGTCTCTAGTACTCCTTTTCAGAAGCCTATTCATTAAACTGTCTTATGTGAACACTTGGTCTGGTATTTTGATTTGCTATATAAAGCCCAAATTCAGCTCATGCCTTGATTTTTAAAATTCCTATCTTTGGCCCATATTACATCATCTTTCTCCGTTGTCTTGCATGAAATATCTTGGAATCTGATACTTTAGCTGAATCCTCACTTTGGATAATTCTTCAGTGCAAACAGTGACACTCTTATCACCCACAGGAGCTAATTCCAAAAATCCTGACCAAGTCTTCCCTCCATTTGAGTGGCCGTGCCATGTTCCAGGACCCATGAACTCAGTTTATTAAGCTAATTAAGTTACTGCAGTGGGAAAGAAAGGAAAATAACTCAGTGCTTTACAAAGCTGGAGGGAGATAAAAGGAAAAACGACCAGCTCAGCTGAGTTGTATTGTTTAGTTTGAGTCCCTGAAGACCTCTGGAAATTTATCCCAAGGAAAACAGATTAAAAGCTGTCTAGCAAGAAGTTTGTCAGCTGTCTTGTCGTCTCCAGCCTCTGTCAGTGGAGCCGAGTCCCTGCAGTTGCTTGTTCAGGCAGGCCCTCCAATGCCGAGTAAATCCTTCCCGGTTCTGCCCCACGTGCTGGAGTTGAAGGTGAGGCACGACAAGCCCGTGCCTTCTGCTGGCATTGCCTTCTGCTGGCATTGCTTCCTCCCACTGGTTAAAGCCCTTTTTCCACCCGTGTGCTGCACACCCTGGAGGTGACACGGGTGGCACTGAGGACCCGCGCCGGTGGCAAAAGTGCTCCAAAAAAAGGGGCTTCTGAAACAGCTGTAATTTTACAGCAGGTTCATTTGGCAGATCCGGCCTGATTCCCAGAGGTGCTGGAGAGGCTTGTGGTGAAGTGGGTAACTTCTTAACTTCCAGAAGTGTTTCTGCCGGAATGATTGGATTTCTGTCTCTGCCACTGCCCCACACAGGCTGGAAGGCTTTTTGTGGCCTTTACCCAAAACACTGCAAGTGGGTCTGCTGGCCTTTGGTGGAGAAGGCAGGCGGGTAGAAGTTGTTTGATCAGACGCTTCTGAATTCCCAGGATTTGTGTACTTGTTTTTATTAATTCCTGAGGCAGATGAACGTGAGTGAAGGTTCTGGAACAGACCAGCAGATGTAACAGGGGTGCAGAAATACCGACCGTGATGGGGAGAGTGAGTGGTCATTTGCATTTGGATCTTTTGCATGAAAACTCAAATCAGAGTCAAATGGAAGATTTCATTTGTGAAGAGCAAGTAAATCCAGCTCAGTTTCAGAAGGAGAGACAAGGACCAACCTGCCAACGAGAGCTGATCTTGGAAACGTCAACTCTTGAGTGGCAGAAGGGCAGGAGATGGAGAGCTAAACCAAGGGCATTCGTTCAGAGCATCCTGTGGAGCTGCTGAGGTGAAGTTCCCCAGCATTTCACCCTCAGAGCTTGCTCTGGCCACTATCAGCTGGTTCTCCAGCCTTTAGAATCACTGAGACACTGATGTTTTGCCTCAAAGCTTTCTGTTAGGGGAGTAGATTGTTCTGTGTTGTCGATATTTAACTCACCTGAGCTGGCTTGCTCAGGTTTTGTCTGTTGGGTTTGGCAATTGCCTGGCGAGGTGTGAAGCAAACAAAATCTGTTTATGCCTTGTGATTGCAGGTCTGAGACTTACTTAATTTCTTGTCATCTGCTTCTGTTGTAGGTATGATAGTTGTAAACCCAGCTTTCGATAAGGAGCGACTTCTGAAAGCTTGAGTGGTTAAAAACGAGCTTGATTAATGCAGAGTTTTGTGTGTTGAGCAGGAGATTTGGTGAAAATACCTTTGCATGCAATGTAACCAGTGATGTCCTGTTGTCCAAACAAGTTTTGTCTGTTGTTACCTCTTTGTTTCTGACCAGATGATGATGATGATGATGATGACATTAGCCTTAACGAATGTGCCACTAGTGAATACTAAAGCAAGCTTGTTTTTTTTGTGTTCTTCCTCCTCCAGGACAAAATGTTTCACTTTTGGGTAAATACATTCTTCATAGGACTGGATGAAAATTCAGACAAAGTAGAAAATGGAAGTCTAGTTGCAGGTCAGGAACTTGATGGCATTTTCAGTACAGAGCGCTCAGATAATGATAAGGAATATTTAATCCTTACGTTAACAAAAAACGATCTAGACAAAGCAAATAAGGACAAAGCCAACAGATATTTCTCTCCAAACTTCAAGGTCAGTATATACATTGTGTGTGAACAAAGCTGAAAAAGCTGCATGACTTGCTCTTTTGGTTTGTCTGTCTTGCCTCGTGGAGGGACCGTGTGAAACCGCTGCGTAGAGACACATTTGCCACCTCTTAGCAAAGCTCTTTGCTTTGGAGGTTTATCTGCTTTTTTGGGGAAGCTGAGAGATGTTGAGAACTGGGGATTAAAGCCCTCAGGTTGTTTCAGGTATTTCTCAAAGCCGTCAGAGAGGAATAGCAAGAGAGCTGGTGAGCCAGGTGGCATCTTCCCTGTGGCAGCTGCGTTGCACGAGCTCTGAGCTTGGCACAATTAATTCTGACTTCATTTGCCTGTGGTGGTTCCAGACCCTTTTTGGTGGTGCCCAGTGACAGGATGAGGAGCAAAGGCCACAAACTAAACCACAAGAGGTTCCACCTCAACATGAGGGGAGAATTCTTTGCATTGAAGGGTGGAACAGCTGCCCAGGGGGATCGTGGAGTCTCCCCCTCTGGAGACATTCCAAACCCACCTGGACATGTTCCTGTGCCACCTGGTCCCCTGGGTGATCTCCAGAGGTCCCTCCCAACCCCAGCTATTCTGTGAGTCTGGGGAATACCTTAACCTGGCAGTTAAGCTTCGAGGAACACGAAAATCCATTGCCAGCAGCGTTTGAAACACGGGAAAGGCGTTTTGTAAGAACTTGAGCGTTTCCTGCCTTGCTCATAAAATATCAGCCAGACCCCAGCAGTGCTGGTTTGGGAGGTAATGATCAGAACTCCTTGTTGGAATGTTGGCGTGGGAAAAGTCTGATCCAAGCAACTCACCCATCAGAGCGTGGTTTATTCGTTCCTGTGCGGTCTCCCCGCAATTCCAGAGCTCTGGAAGGTAGGAGGATGGAAAAGCTTGGTCCTGCTGCTGTCCAGTGACTGCTGCAGGCAGGCCCAGCTCCTGCTCTGGGCTGGAAAACCTGTCCCTGGAGAGAGAGAGGAACACTCATGTGATTCAGTGTAGCTGTTAAATCATAGCTTTGTTACCTGTGCTCACTTCAAGTCCAGGTTTCCTTTTTTTTTTTTTAAATGTTGTTTTTTTCCTTCCCCAGGTGAAGCTATTTTTCACAAAAACAGTAGAAGAGCCATCAAACCCCGAGGCTAGCAGTTCAACTTCTGTAACACCAGATGTTAGTGACAATGAACCTGATCATTATAGATACTCTGACACCACTGACTCTGATCCAGAGAATGAACCTTTTGATGAAGATCAGCATACGCAGATTACAAAAGTCTGAATATTTTTTTTATCGGAGATAAAAGAGACAAAAAAAACATACAAAAAAAAAAATAAACCACCTACAATGAAGAGTGACAAACTTGAATAAACTGAAAAGAAAAAAAGAAAAAAAAAAAGGACCTTTCTAAATGGCAAAAGGACATAGTGTCAGATTACCAGTTATAGGAACAATTCTTTCCTGACCAATCTTGTTTTGCCCTATAAATCCTACAGGGTTTGACACTTGTCCAGTCGGGGGGAAAAAAAAAAAAAAAAAGGAAGGTTACCTAGCTCTTATATGTATATACCTTTTTGTGTCAAAAGGACATTAAAACTTCAATTAGGAACTATAAACATGGCACTTTCCCATTTTATTCCAGTTTTATAAAAGTGGAGACAGACCTAATGTGTATGCGTAGGAATTTTTCCTTTTTTTGTGTTCTGTCACCAAACGAAGTCTCAAAACCGAAAATCAAACAAAAAAAAAAAACCACCAACCAACCAACCAACCACCGACGAAAACAATTTACAGGTTCGCATCCCGGCCCCTTTTTTTTTGCACTTGGTGTGGCAACGGGGAAGTTCTGCAGTTGGCTAAGAGATTGTTTTCTGGAAGGTTTTTCCTACATTCTGATGCGTGTCTTGTGGCTGGGGGATGGAAAGGATCGCTCGGGAAGGAGCGTGGCCTCTGTACCATATCCGGCTGTTCCATTGCCCTGATTCATCCGGGACAACAGACGAGGAGTCGCCGCTGTCGCTGCTTTGTCGTTTGTGCGTTTTTAAATTTCTTTTTTTTCTTTTTTTTTCTTTTTTTTTTTAAATTTTATTTCTTTTTTTGTTTT